GCTGCAGCAAGAAATGGCACAGGGAGGCGCCTCTGTCTTACAGGTGCTCCGCCTGCTTCGAGCCCTACTTGGCGATTTACTGCGACAATCGCATCTGCAACCACGAGAAGACGTCACTGAGTTAGCGTACCAGGCCTGCTACTACCTGGACAAACTGCAAACAGTGGATGAGCAAAGGCGCAACAGTCTGTGTTCCGAAGGCGAAGAGGGAGCAAACAGGCCCGGGGAAGCCCCCGACGCGATGGTCCCCAACAACGTGGCGCCGACGGAGAAGTAGACTCGTCGAGGCAGAAGCGACCCTGAGCCACCTCGTCCTGCACCACAACGAGCTCCCAGACCGGCATCTTCGCAAGGAACTCAGGAGGATACAAACCCTCCTCCAGGAAGGCCAACAAATGTTACGCAGCTGGGGGCGAACCCCACAAGCACCTGGAGCGCAGGTCGGAGATGCGAGCCTAGGCACTGCATTACAGTGCCTTACCTTTAGCCACCTGGCTGTCCGCGAAGGAGGTGTAGCGAGCATCACTGAAGCGCTCACAGAGACCCTGCATGCGACCAGCCGAGCCAGTGGCCAGATGGACATGCTCTTGGAATGGATCCAAACAAGGTTCGGGGCAAGCAAGAGGCCCCAAGCAGAGTCCGGCAGCCCGTCACCAAAGAAGCGTCGCCTGGCTGAAAAGCCATCGGGGAGCAGTCAGGCACCCCGCTTCCACCTGGACGAGGCCGCCCCACCTCTACCTGAACCAGCTCCTGCTGATCATCGTGGACGACCCGCAGCTCGACATCAAGCAGAAGTTCATGAAGATGCAAAACCAGGAGGGGACGTTGGCCCCTACAACATTTTACGTGCCCAGCAGCTTCTCGAACAAGTACTCCCCTTTGTCGAGCACCAAAGCGCCGTCTTTTTGCAAAAGGCACACAGCCTGCTGTTCCAACGGACCACAGCACTCTGGGGTACGCCCATTCTCCTTGCTGCTGAGGATGCCCAAACTGTGCTTGACGGGGGGGCACCCTCGATGCCTGAGTCAGAAGCAAGTACTGTTTTGCTGCCCACCCAAGACTTTCACCTCGCAGCAAACCATGATGCGGATGGAGGAGTTACGCCAGCGGCCACGTCACACAGGCGTCGCCGCCTTCATGCGGCTATGGACGAAGCAGACTCCCCGGTTGACGACATCTGAGACGACTTCCTTGCTGACTAAGCCTGCGCTAAGTGCCGGGGGTCACCCCGAAACGTCGTCCGGCTGCCGCCTTTCTGCGGGACTGCGCCAGTCTCGACCACTACTGAGAGCGGCTTGAAAAACTTTAAAGAGCCCGACACGTGCTTGCCCTTGGCCCGACAGGGGGAAGCCCCCTTCCCCTCTTTCGTTCAGGTTCTTTGTCTTCAGAAGGTTCCGAGGGCGGGGGTCTTTGGCGTCAGGGTTTCCCTTCCCCTTCACCTTATTTTACTTCACTCCCGAAAGGGCAAGCGCCGGCCTCAAAGAGCATCCAATTTATCACAAAGGCCTCCTGAACGCAGGGGGTAAGGCCTCTAATGTTGTTCTAATGTTTCTTGTTTTCCAGGACCTGCTCAGGAAGGCCACTCCGGTTAAGCGTGCGGCAGCGGGGGACAAACCCCATAGCTTGCTGTTCAGGTTCCTTGTCTTTGGCAGGTTCCTTTGGGTTCGCTTTGTCTGGTAAGTTTTTTGTTTATTCGGGGACTTTCCTTGGAGCTCCCTTTAGCCCAGGGCCTGGAACAGAGCGAAGCTGCAGCACATACTATTTCCGAAGTGTCTAGAGAGGGGGGACTACCCCGTGAGCTCGCGCTGTGTCTTGCTTAGGTCAGCGACTATGATTCCTTTGCCCGCTACCCTCCACGACACTTCTTGCACGCCCTCATGACGTATTTTGCAGTCTAAGGGGAATATCCCCTGCCCCTTTGCTCAGTTCAGGTTGATTGTCTTCAGTGAGGTTCGCTGGGCTTTTGTTGTTGAACTCTGCTTCTCTTTTTTCCCGGGGAGTTGCCCTGACGTGAGCTGAGGGCTGATTGCCATACGTCTGATTTGACAGCGAGCAGTTTCTTTCGTCTCCGTTGAGTGGCCTAGGGGAGGAGCCCTTTCGGACGAATCAATGTGCTGGTTTGTGTTGGCCGATAGCGCATCTTTCTTTGACTGCTCCCCCTTGCCTTCATGGAATTTGCCGAACTAATAGCTCGCTCCCCACAAGTCGGGGGCGCTAACGCGCGCGGGTGAGGGGGGCTTGCCCTCCTTACCCCTAGCCCTGGCGAAAGAAAGAGAGAAAGTCGATAAAGTAGAAGTTCCTCTTCGGGGTGACATAAAGTAAAGCCGGATCTGACACATCTCCCTCGTCGGGGCTGCAGATTGCCATCCGTGTCGGGAGCCCCTGTCCGCCGACCCGAATCTCCGCAGCCCAACCCAGCCCAGCCCAACCCAACGCAACCCAACGCAACCCAACCCACTCAAGCGCACACGACAAAATTCACCCTAGCTTGACTGCGGCACATTGAATTGCCTTCGTCGTGTGCGCCCAGCTTTTTCAGACACGTGCTAACCATGGCAAAGCCGCTTCTCGGCAGGACCTCTGGAGCCACTCGGACGTATTTGTACGTGGTGGTCTTTTTAACATGGGGCTCATGCGATGCAACTATTGGCGAGTTCCACTGTCCATCTGCCGCCAGGCGCCAGATTTCAAAGCAGGCTCACGGCTGCAATGCCAGCAATGCCATTGGGATGGAGAGAACCGGTCAAAAGGTAGTCAAGTGCTCGCAAGTCCGCTGGCGGCTGCTTCTTGATAGCACCGGAGGATCCTCCGAAATCGATGGCGCAGGGAGGGTTAAATGGAACTGCCGAGCTCCCAGCCAGATCGTGTTCTCGTACGAGCTTGAAGACGCTTGTTTGCGTCGCTGAGGCTCAGTTGTCCCAGTCTGGAACGAGCACGGCAACCGGTCAGAGCCTCGATTAGCACCGTTCATACTTGGCATGCCCTTAGCGGATGCACGGTGCAGTCTGCCGGGGCTCGGAAGCTTGCGACAACATGACACTAAAAGGAACGAAAACTGCCATCCCTCGCTCCGCAGATGCTTCATAGATGCCTTTCCAACCCAAGGTGCAAACTTTGTGCCATGGACGAAGGCACTTGGGTCAGTCATTGCGAGCCCGGGCAAGCTGGCAAGCTCGGGACTTATTCCACGCTCCACCTCCTCTGTCTTATGATTTTGTTTTTCAGTCGTTGTGGGACAGGGTTGCTGTTTGTGGCCAGGTCCGAAGACGAAAGCCTCTAAGCTTGCAGGCAAGGTTTGAATTCCGGAGAGCTTCTTTAAAGTGTTTTTTGAACCCTTCCCGCATTTCCCACATCGGTCGAGTGTCCGCTTTCAGTCAGGCCGCCCAGGAGCGCAGGCCGCCCTCCCTGGCGTGCTGCTTCTGGTGTTTTAGAGCATTGCCCTGTTTTCCCTTCAAAGCCAGGACAAACTTCCTGCGAACTTGGCCCTGCGCCGCGTCCCGAGCCGTGTGACATTGATTTTGGGTTCGTATAATTTTTCTGAAGCCACATGTTGGAGAGCCAAGCAGGCAAGCGTTCTGCATTGAAATTGGAGTGCGATGCAAGGTTCCACGCTTTGATTTGGTTTTCCGGGACCAAGGTGCGCAGAACATCGAGGCAACGTGCTTTGCTCGTCGTTGTCGGCTGTCAGGTGGTTTAGAAATTGCACACTCGTCGACGGGGGGGGGGGGCGGTGGAGACCCTGGCAATACTCCGACCTTGCCGCTGCACAGGTAAAGCGTTCCTATAGTGGTAGCATTGGTTAGCTTGCAGAACGTGCGTATCGGATGGCAATGTGGGCTTACGAAGCTGTCTCCTTGTCAATTCCATCCAGGCGAAGTGCTCGCCAGATGTTCGGCGTGCGTTTCGCTCGAAGCCGGTGTGGGTCCCGGAACTGCGAAGTTCTTATGGGCTGTATGAGGATGTTCGGGCCTGGATGCACAACTGTGCTTGGTAAGATAGTGATGTAAGTGGTCGGCCTTCATGAATTAAAACTGCTTCTGCTATTGCAAGCCAACGTCTAGCCCTACTTTTGCCAAATCTAGTCTAAGTCTAAGTGCATGAGACAAGAACGGATTCCGGGCGAAGGGTGCGGTCAGGTCAGCTGTCGAGGGATTTGGTCAGGAAGGGGCGGCAAAGTCGGTGCACAACGAATTTCAACGGTTTTTTGTGTAGATGTCAGCAGACATCGATGGCCGTCGTCTAACTGCTAACTGCACTGAAAGATCCAGCTTACTGCTGTGACCCAGGTGGAGAAGTGTGGCTGTGCAACGATCACGGCAGGGCCCCCTAGTGCACACACTTCGCGAAGAGCTGAACGGCAACGTATATCATAGTTTTTCAGATGCCTGGCATTGTCCTTTGGCATGCTTACCAGATTGCACCAGGCCGTGTGGTCTGCCTGCGACACTTTCTGGGAGATAGATACAACACACTCTGGCGCCATTACCCGACAGGTGGGCGGGATTTTCGTATAAGTATTTCTGCTTCTCAACAGTTCACATGCGCATGTTGGAATGTCCTAGCACCAGCACTTCCAACATGGCAGGTGTACATGGACTTCTTGAAGTACATTTGTCCTACAGCCTCGATCCGGCAAAAAGACAATACCGCAAGGCGTGCTTAGGGCTTGGCATCCTTATGCTTGCTGAGGTCAACACGCTCCGCATGCTCCGCAGGGCAAGGCACCCCTCCGGTGTTCATGGTACGTCCGTTTCGAACAGACCAAGAACACTCTGTAGCTGCAGATCCACATTGCATGTTAGTATTGGCCTGGCCGCGTTGCCAACAGCTGAGGGATACCAATTGCTTGGTGCACTACAAAATGCCGACGCATAGCGACATCTACTTCTCAATCTAAAGGCTCAACGTCTCCATCGGTGCGTTCGTCTGTCCATTCACTGGTCGGTTTCTTCGCCTCCGTGTGTCGCTCTAGTTCTTGGACAATGTGTATGTCTATCCATCCGTTCATCTGTTTACCTCTGCCTCTATGTCTACCTCTCTGTCTGGCCGGCTACTATAGTATGCGACAATGTGCCAGCTGTTTCTTAGAACGTGAAGAGTATAGACAGTAGAGATTATGCAATACTAAGTAAGACATGCCGGTATTGGAGTGTAGTATGTCAGCTGTTACGTGACATGTAAACGCATTTACTTATACATACGCGCCTCCACACATATCGCACGCTGAGCATATGTATACATGTCGGTACAATGTGCACTACGCGAAGCTTCTCGCCCGCGACTGGCAGAGACACCCTTCTCAATTTGAACGCTGGCTGAGTTTCTCCTCCTGGAATGAACGCTGTTGGGCTGCTTGGGGGCCAACCAGAAACTGGCGCACTGAGTGTGAATTTGAGATGGCCGGCAGTTTGCAGCCTAATCGAGTGCAGCAGACATCACTTGATCGAAAGAACCACACCCCTCCGAGTGACATGTGCTTCCGCGTGAAGTGTTGAGTGGCTGGAACTGTCGTGCTCGGATTGACAGGGCAAGTCCAGTCTTCCACATTTTTCTGCAGAGTTGGAAACGGATTGTCGCATATTGTCGCCACATCTGATTGCAGTGTAGGAATAAATCGCAGCATTTGATTGTGTAGACACACGTAAGTTTGACAATGCCGATCTTTGGTGTCTCTTCTGTGACGTGCGCGTCAACGATTTCTTACACAGCTGTTTCTGTTTGAAGGCAGACATCGAAAGAGCGGTTTGTATTCAAACTCATCTTGTTCGTACTATGGTTTCTGGGGCTTGAACTTCTATTTTGGCTCCCTTAGATAGATTTGAACCTTTTGATGGTGCCCCTAGGGGTCTTACATTGTCGTCCAAGACTTAGTGCTTATGCAAACCCGCCTCTCGAGCTTCAGAGTCTGTTTGGGTTATTGTCGTGTGTGTAGTGTCAGAGTGGGCGAGGTCGAAGACCTTTTTGTCTCCCTTTGTCTCAATGCCCTGCCTATCCCCGGGAGCGTGACCCAAGCTCTCCAACAGTCCCGCGCCCCAGGCCAAATTGTTTTCTCGTCTTTCACAGATCGGGGTAGTAAAGTCACATGGGTTCAGCTCGCACTCGATTTTGTCTCACCGTACGGATTCCAGCCGGGCCGGCTCTCTGCCGAGATGTCTGCTGCTACGCTGGCCTCACGATTTCGTTCTTATTTTCATAAGTTGTTGAAAGTTAACGATATCGTCATTACGACGGCGAGTCGCTGCAGAAATCTCCACGTTTTTGGGTTGCCTAATCAGTCTGGTTTCTAGGGTTCAGTTTGTTTTGATTCTTTCTTTCTGTGTCAAGCGAATAAGCTTTTCGTGACCAAATCCTTGCTTCCCAATCAGAAGCCCCGAGGCCACTTTAAATCCGATTTCACTAACTTCTGTACCATCCCATCATATTCACCTGCCGCAGGCGCTAATGAAGCTTTTCAGGGCTTTTTCTTGTACCTTGCATCGATGCCCGGGAGGCTCAGATCCAGAGTGTCGCAAAAATGATTGTGTGGACTTGCTTGTGCCGACAACCCTGCACAACAAGCTTTATACGGCCGATTGTTCATTTGTGGTTTGTTGCATGGCTTTTTTGGCAAGAACTGCTTGTTGGTGCGGTTGGAATCACGCGGCTGCCTTACATGACACTGGTCCCGCTGTCCAGACTGATTGTGCTCACCGCTGGCTCACGAAGGATTGACCGAGTGATAATGTGTGTGATTGTTCGAGGTTGTGTGGATGTGTGAGTATGCATGAGTCTCCCGAATTTTTACAGTCGGTTTTGCTGTCCATCTGTCAAGTAATTTATCTGTTCATCCCACTACATCCATCCTTCAGACATCTGTGTTTTCTGATCTCTGCTTGCCGACCTGCTCATCACTCTGCCTGTTTCCCGTCAACCAACGATGTACCTTCTCACCCTGCCTCACACCATCTGGCTACTCACAGACCCATCCTCTGTGTGTTTGCCCGCCGGCCGTCTCATGATAAAGTACGTATGTTTTTTTGCGAGTTTGATGTGCGGCTTTAGAGCCTGCTCGAGGCTTGAGTGCCGCTTCCGCAGCTCGGCTGTGCCTGTCAGACTGGAGGTGTGTGTGGTTTGAAACTTTGCATCCTTGCCTCGCGGAGCGACGCGTTTCCTGGCAGGATTTCCTTGCGATGGTGTGGCCGACTGCTACGATCGAGGATGCCACTGCCAGACATGTTCAGGCTTTGACTTCAAGTCCAATGCAGCGCTGGCCGAAGGACCGTGCAAAGATGCTGAGATGGGCCGAGCTTCGAGAGGCGTTGGCCGCGGTTTGCTTCATTCAAGTTTGTGCTTGGGGTTGGTATACCGCCATTGTCGCTGATGGTTGTATCTGTTTGTAATTCAACTCACATGTCACTGGCCTCTTTGCAAAGCTCCAGTTCGGATGTGAATCGCTGCTCATGCTGCTCCTGCTCGAAGCTGGGCGTGTCAAATCCTGTCATGCAGTCGCACTCGAACGCCTTGAACATCGTTGCAGTAACGTCCATGAACCTCGAGACAGACACTGAAGACGAGAACGATGATGGGACCAGCAGGTCATGGCCATGCGCCTCTACTCACAAGCCAATGTGGGACTAGACCCCTTCACTCAAGAGTTTTACCGAAGTCGTGCCTGTACAGTCGCGCCCCTCTCGGGCGACTTGCAGTTTCAGGGTCGCCTTCGGCCGTTGCAGCCATGGCGATGGATCGTCTCAACAGAAGTCGACGGGCGTCTTGACTTTGCAGATACAGTTCCACAGTCATGGGTGGACATTGCGGGATCCTAGACCCAGACCAAGAGCCACTAAGGACAAGCTCGACTGGGCCGCCAAGTTAGGCCACTGGACAGAATCGCCTTCACTGGCATGGCTGTTGTGCAACGGCTTTTCCTGCACCATTGGCTTAAAGCAAAGGCTTGGGGCCATTGGCAGGCCGTGCTGCTCTGCCACTGTGCTGCAGCCTTTGCCAGCTCGCATTTGGTCAGAGCGCCGCTGCAGGTGGCGAAGCACTGCCCGGGCAAGGTTGGGTTGAAGCATGTGGGAGTGCAGAAGCAGTATTATCGATGCTTTCCCAGAGCTTGGTGCTTGGGCACCATGGCGCAGCTTTGCCGATGCCAACTCGTTTGCACTATCGTTTGCCACACTCAGACACATCTCAGCACAAACCCTAGAGTCCCTATGGCTCTCATTTGTCATTCTTCCGGCAGGCCCCGTGCCGGGCAATGCCCGGGAGGCGCAAACCCAACGAAAGCAGGCGGCCGTAGAGACCTGACAGAACTGACAGAACTGACAGAATGCACGTAGTCGATCGTAGTCGTACAATGACGGGAATCCCCGGTACGGGCTCTTACAGCTTCCCGGGGCAGGCCGAGGAAATGGCCGAGCTGCGCCGGCGCATCGCGGCTTGTTCTCAATTTGTAACACGTTAGAACGGCATCCTTTCTGACTAGTCCTTCTTTGTCCTTCTCAAACCGACCCTACTGCCTTAAGTCTTAAGTGCAAGATTTCCAGTCGGAAGCACGCAGTCACCTCGACAAAACCTATAACTGGTTTCAACTACTAGCAGCACTGGCGCGACAAGCTTTCGAGGGCCGGGCTGTCCTTTTTTTCACCGCCTCGACATCGTTGTGCTGTTGAACCTGTTTAACCTGCTTAAAAAGACCACCCCAGTGTTTTGACATCATTTGCCCCTTCTTTCTTGCGTGCTTTCCAGACGGGTCATGTTTCTCTCAGGATGAGAAGCAGGCCGAGGTGGCCGCGTCGAAGCCGCCGCAGGCAGAGGAGGAAGTGGATGCATGGGACCCGGGCCGTAAGTCCAAGCACACTTCCACGCTTTGGTATTTCGTGGTCATGAGTTATGACGTGTTTATGACCAAGGCTTCCGGCTTCTTGAATCCGAACGCCTTGACCTCAGCTTTCCTGCTGCCGTGCTTCGGAATCGTGGTTTGCTTTCGTCAGTTGTCGCATGTGCGTGATAGCTGCTGCAATCTTGCAGCCAGCCTGTGAAGTTCATTTGCCGGTCGCATGCCAACCAAGGCCAAGTCCAGTGGAAAGAAAAAGGCGGCGCCCAAAAGCGTGTCTTGGATTGCAGCTGGAATGGATTGTTGAGAGTTCAGCGTGGTCTATGCCGTGGATTTTGAACTGCTACTGGTCCTCAGTGAAAGTCAGTGGCCGCAGATTCGCAGGTCCTCGAGCTCCGGATCGGCCAGAAGCCAACTGTGGTTGTCACCTCGCGACCGGACGACGATCTGCCACCTGGGTGCGCAGCTCGGTGCCATCATCAAGTGACATTGCCTTTGCCTTGCTCTGGCAGGCCTGCGGACCAAGAGCCAGGGGAAGAAAAGGACCCTGCAGACAGGAAATCTTCAAGCCACGCGAGGAAGTTTTGAAACATGTCTTTTGCAAGGATGAGAAGGACCTGAAGGCAGAGCGCCGGGCAAAGCAGAAGGCTGCGACAAGATTCCAGGCACAACCATGCTTTGCCCGAGAACAGTTCTGCGCGAGCCCGATCATGTCTTCGGTGCGATGCACTGATACAGGATGTCGAGGAGGAGTATTCCCTCGATAGCCAGGGCCGCGAAAATCGGCGGGGTAGAAAGAAAAAGAGAGCCTTGTCAGCAAACGAGGCGAAGGCGCACGCAAGCGAAGCTAGCTGTAAGCCCACGGTGAGCGGTTGGCCCTTGCCGCTTGTGACTAGCTGCCTAGCTCGGCTGAGGAAGAGCGGGGAGATCATTCGAAGAGGAGGCTCGGAGAGCAGCGGATCGTTGCGCGATTCGGTGGGTCGTGGATGTGGAAGCCGCGGCTCGGAGGACTCGGACGAAAGGCGCTACCGAAGCCGTTCGGGCCCGGCAGGGCGCCTCTCGGAGGCTAGGCCACGTGTTCTGCATGGCTTCTCCCGTGGCGATGCCACTCGTTTTCCCTCTGAGTCTCCCTGTCTGTTGTCTGTGTACAGGATCCATACGGGCGGGGTCGCGGAGACCGAAGTCGTTCAGACGATGGCCTCTTGACACCATAGCAAGAAATTTTGAATGGAAGCTTTCTGCACATGTCGAACATGTGCATGCAACCGACTCCGAGTCACGCCTTTCTGGAAGCAAGGATACTACGACGATGATGACGACTCTTCGGAAATTAGAAGACGGAAAAGGCAAAAGGAAAAGAGGTTGCGGGAGGCGGGATTAAGATGTAGTTTCTTGTCAGAGACGAACGGCATCAAGGCCGACAGGTGGAACGTCGGTCGTGTGATGCGCTCTGAGACTAAGTCACAGCCGAGAGTGAGCGCCTTGTCCTAGCGGTCCTAGCAATGCTGCACTCTGCGGCATGACGACCTGCATTTTGAGCTGATGTGCTTGGAAGGGAGACTAGTTACTAGTTGCTGACACGTCCGTCTGATTGCTGCAATGAGGAGTGGAGAAAAGAATGGAAGAAAAAGAAGGAGATGGATAAACGCCGGGCAGGCATCGCTTGAGAGACCGGTCGGTGTCAGCTGATCCACTAGGCAGTTCGACGACTACCGCAAATCTACCAGATTCTAGCCTGCTGGGTGTATTGATCTTTTGACTGGGGTTGACATCGACTTCGACATGCAGGTGGACGCTCATCAGACGAAGAGAGTTCCGTGGCGGCATACGAGCTTTCGCGTCACGCGTGCGGGCGACTGCACTCCTCCGCCTTCTCGTCTTGAATCCATCCGTCATTGTGCTAGGGACGTTGCAGCTTCAATTTTGACTGTGCCCCCTTGTCTAGGCCGAGCTATCTGAGAAACAGCTAGACTACTAGACTTTGAATGACATTGGTCAGAGCAAGAGCAAGTCTGCAGGGCACTGTGCAGGTGAGGGTGACCTCGAAAAGCGTGCAGATGGGAGCGCTGAAAGGACATGATTTTGGCATTGATAGTGTTTGGTTCGGGCAGTTTCGGGTTGCCGTGGGGTCCGGTACAGGCTGGGTTGTCATGATCAGACAAGACGGGACCTACGAGCGACCATTGTCATGGATTGGGATATGGACAGGAGTCCCGGCCGCCAGCTCCGAGAAAAGAAGGCGCTATAGGGCTCCCAAATTTCAGAATCTGTAAGAAGATCGGCAAAGGTTGACACAGTGCTATTTTCATAGCTTGCCCCCGATGACTCCATGCCTGGAGCGACGCGATGGTGCCTGGAAGCCAGGAGATCGGCGTTCCCGAGGCTCAGGTTGACCATGTGGGAGGCCAGAACCATGGCCTTGAGTCCTAGCTCTGAAGCCTTTGCCCACCCATGACTGCCCTGCTTGTCAGGTGTGCAGAGAAAATACGCCGAAGGCTTAGACTCGTATCAATTGCCTTGCATGTCACTGCGGCTCTGCACGCCACTGCGATCATCCTCCTGGCCCCGTGTGCAAGGTCGGGCAGCTACGTCGCTGCCCCAGGGATCCCACGGCCCGATCTATCCGAGAGCGGAGAGCGCAGAGTGCCCGTGCCAAGGAGACTCGGAGCTCGACGAGCGGCTGCGCCGCGCCGAACTGGCTCTCTACGGCGGCGGGGGGAGGACCAGGGGACCAGACCCAGGGCGGCCCAGGCGGCCCAGAATTGAAGCGCATGCAGGAAGCTGCTGACAGAGGCCGAGGCCATCGCTCTCCTGCAAGGAGGTCCATTGGCAGCGTTCTCAATTGTCTGATACTGGCAATCGGGAGTTCTGCAAGGAAACAAGCGCCGGCGATGACATCTGAGCCATTCTGAGCCCATGTGGGGCCGCACACAGCGACTCTGTCATAGATCCACCACATCACCCATGCCACTTTGCCGTTACATATGCACGAAGTGGTTTTCGACGAATAACTTGCGCCGAAGTGCATGAGGTGGCAACCCACTCCCTGGTTTCGTGCCTGCAGACGGTTGCAGAGTGAACCTGCCACATCAGCCAACTCTTCTGCAACGATGCTCTTATGTATTAGGCCGGAGCTCGAACTTTCAAGCCAACTGCAATCCGCCTTATCATTAGTCATCTGCAGCATGGGCATTTCCAAAGGTGACACACCAGTGGCCCGTGCAATGCGCCACGCAGACACCTTGCAGAACTTCGAGTCCCAAGCTCATAGAACCCGCTTTACCGACGGCGCAGATGTTTTGAGATGCTTGGACTGGTTTCTGCTTTGACAGAGAGGTGCAGTTTCTGTTGTAATCGGCCTCACAAAGTGTCTCGATGAGAACAGAAACGGCAGACCTCCTGCCTGAGGTGATGTGGCAAGTAAGATCCAAAGTAGTCAAAGCTGAGCCGGCAAGGTCCCATTAGTTAACTTGCAGAAATTACGGAACACTGTGGGGTTCATGCTGCGACCCGAGCTTCGTGCGAAGGCCGTTTGTCTCACAATGTGCCCCCCGTGCTTGCGTCGACACGTCCACACTGATACGCGCACGGAGCCTCGTGATTCAGTCGCAGAAGGACACCAGGTCTTGAGTCGTGACAGCTGAAGAGGCACATTTTAGGATGTAGCCCGTGGACCAGCACCGGGCCCGACAGTCGCCCTGCCTGACACAAAATGCTCTTGGGGCTTGTGTGCTTTCTTGCTGCACCACCCCTTCTTGAGATCCGAGACCCGGTCAGTACCAAATGTTTGAATGACCGACTGTGCACTTTGCATATTCTTGCGTGCGTTGCGACAGCTGTTTGCCAGTGCTACGACATCATCTCCCATAGGTTTTCAGCAACGGATCAAGCCGTGACCTCGGTTTGATTGGCTTGCCCTCGAATTTATCAGCTCCCCACCATGAAACAAGACTGTCCCTTCGTCCGGTGATGACAAGGACCTGGAGAAGCTCTTCACGCTTCTATGCGGACCTTCGATGTGACTTGGTCGCCGGAAATATTAGCACGTCAGGTCAGGTTAAGGTCATGCGTGGTAACGGACCTGCAGTCTCATGCACTTCAATGCAGCCTCGGATAGTGGAGATGGTGTGCTGCATATCATGTCGCTGGAAGCAAGTGGTGCTTCCTGAGGAAGCCCGGCGAACCGCCGAAAGTCCTTGCGAGTGAGCTGAGCCGCTCGTTGGGGCCATACGAGATGACGGGAAGTGCAGGCATTTGTGGCATGGCTTTGCAAATTCAATTCTGGTTTGCGACGGACCTAGGAGGATGTTACCTCGAGACGTGGTGGTTGGCTTTGCAAAAGAGCCACTTGGATCTCGCAGTCACACCGACTCATGCCTTCTAACAGCCAGTGTAAGCGGCAAGCCCGATCTCACCAAGGGGGCATCTGAAAGAGCTAGTGCCTCAGTCGACGGAACGACTAGCAGATTAAGTACTCAGTTCGCTACTGCGCCGTCTTCGTCAGACTCAGGGTTGCTTTCGACTACGAGGCCAGGCCGGCATTTGCAGACAGGCTGCCCTGGTTACAGAAAGCTGAAGCCTCGCGGGCCTGACCAGCGCTGTCGGGAGTTCGCGTTGGTGACAGGAATTCAAGTCCATCGCATGGCCGAAGCTCAAAGAGCGATGGGTCTGCGCCTGAGCTGTCTTGTGGCATACAGCTTCCGCCGTTTTGCAACTTGCCGTATGAGCTTTCTGGTTCGCAGTCGCTCCCGAAGAGCGATCTTCTTGGATCGTTTGAGTGGAGAACCCAACTCGCTTCGGTTGCACAGGAACATCTGTCGTGGTACTGGTTGCAAGAGTCGCGTTTCGAAAGCCTGTAATGCCGGTTGGTTCATGAGACCGGGTAAACCTGCTTGCCCAGATGTCCAAAGACAGCTTCAACAAGCAGAAGGCCGTTGAGGCTGGACATTCCGGCAGCCGCATTGAACGGACTCATCACTGAACACACGATTGAACATCTAGACTCGACTTGATCTTGCAGGAGAAAGAGCAGCCTCTGCGAGGAACGGCGTTTGTTGCAGCCTTGTTTAGTACGGTAGAAGCAACACGAACCTCCATCCACCATTCCATTCCATTCCATTCCATTCCATTCCATTCCATTCCATTCCATTCCATTCCATTCCATTCCATTCCATTCCATTCCATTCCATTCTTCCATTCTTCCATTCCTTGATTCGTTCATTCGTTCATTCGTTCCTTCCTTCCTTCCTTGCTTCATTCATTCCTTCATTCATGCTTTTAGTCATTCCTTTCATTCATGTAAACCATTCATTCATTCATTCATTCATTCATTCATTCATTCATTCATTCATTCATTCATTCATTCATATGTTTCCATATGTTTCCATTCATTTTTTCATTCATTCCATCTTTCCTTCGTTCCATTCGTTCATTTCACTCATTCGTTTTATTCATTAATTCTTTCATTCGTTCATTCATTCCTTCATTTATCCCTCCATCCATCCGTTCATTCCGTTCATTCCTTTCATCCCATTCACCCCGTTCATCTCCTTCATCCCATTCATCCCATTCACCCACTCACCCATTCATCCATTCGTCCATTCGTCCATTCATCCATTCATCCATTCATCTATTCATTCTTTCACTCATTCCATTTCATTACATTTTCATTTCATTCCATTCCATTTCATCCCATTTCATTCCATTTCATTCCAGTTCATTCCAATTCATTCCGTTTAGAATCTAATTTCATGTCATGTCATTCATTCCATTTTATTCATTCATTCATTCATTCCTTCAATTTCATCCAATTTCATTCATTCATTCATCCAATTTCATTCATTCATTCTTTCTTTCTTTCATTCATTCTTTCTTTCATTCATTCATTCCTTCATTCATTCAGTCATTCCTTCGTTCATGTGTTCCTTCCATTCAATCATTCCTTCCATTCATTCATTCCTTCCATTCATTCATTTCTTCCATTCATTCATTTCTTCCATTCATTCATTCATTCATTCATTCATTCATTCATTCGTTCCATTCATCCATTCATCCATTCATTCATTCATTCAGTCAGTACATTCATTCATTAATTCGTGCATTCATTCATTCATTCATTCATTCATTCATTCATTCATTCATTCGTGCATTCGTGCATTCATTCATTCATTCATTCATTCATTCATTCATTCGTGCATTTGTTTCAACTATCCATGCCATTCATTCAGTTCATTCATTCCAGTCATTCATTCATTCATTCATTCATTCATTCATTCGTTCAATTCATGGACTCAGTTCATTCAGTTCTTTCGTGCATTGCATTCCTTTCATTCTATCCCTTTCACCCATGCAGTTCGTTCGTCCCTTTGGTTCAATCATTCCATTCTTTCGTTCATATCATTCAGAGCTGTCGACGACGTGCCAGGTAGGTGACAAAAATGTCATTCATTCATTTCAAGCATCCATGCCATTCATTCAGTTCATTCATTCCTGTCATTCACTCCTTTCATTCATTCATTCATTCATTCATTCATTCATTCATTCATTCATTTCATTCGTTTCATTCGTTCATTCATTCATTCATTCAATCACTCATTCATTCACTCAGCTCATTCAGTTCTTTCGTAGTCGTAAACGTGACGGAGGTTCAAGGCAAGGAACATGCTAGTCCAAGTTCCAAATTTAGACATGGGGTTCGTGTTGCTTGCCTTCTCGCTTCGACCTGGGCTCGTTTGAAGGCGCCTGGCCAGGCCGCACCATGCGCAACGACGACCAAGGCCAGAATGGCCTCATCTAAACATCGGAACATGGCTAAACTAAGCAAAACTGGGAGTGAAAGCATCGTCTCTACAAGATGGTCGAAGACATTGGATCCTGCATTTGGCCGTGCATGTGCTGTCGTTCAGGTAGGTTACCCAGACTTGCAAGATTGATGTGGCTTGTCCAGTCAATCCACACGTGCGAAACTCCACAAAGCAACCCGTCGAGGACCAGCCCCAAGCAGTGATACTTAGTGGCTGCCGAACCAACAGCAAACACATTCTCGCCAAAAGGCTGACGGTCTGGTGCCGCTGCTGCAAGCTTAGCAACATTCGAGCCAGAGTTCCACCAAAACGGTTGGGTGTGGTGTTCGGGTTGGAATTCCCTGTCTTTGTGAGGTCATGTAGACAGCGTGGCTTCCAATGCTTGCTCAGACGACACAGGCACATGCAAATGCACAGTGTTACTCGGGTACAGGCTGGCTGAAGATGCAAGTTGTGACGGCATGATGGGCCATGTCCTGAGTACCGTCAGCTAAGCAACAGTCCTGTTCACGTGGAAGCAGTAACTTTCAGCAACCGCTGCGATATGCCACAACTCCATGCAAGACGCTTTCCCTTCCCATGGACATCGCCTCGGCTGCTGCTGGGCGTCTTGCCGGACCCGGCCAGGCATTCGAAGTTTGTAGGTTTGGGACAGACGCAGAGACTCAGTCGGGGCCATCATTTGCCAAGACCACACACCCCGCAGACAGAATTTTGAAGCCTCGGGTTCAAGTTCAACACGGATCGTGTTCTGTGAGGCTTCGAGTTATCTGCATATTTCTTTATGTAGGAAGATATCCATGTATCCGTCGGTCTTGTCTGTCTCTCGCGCGCGCTCTCGCTTTCTCTCTCGTTTTCTCTGTCTCTCTCACTTTCTCTGCCTATACCTATTTACCTGCCTGCCTACCCACCAACCCACCCTTGCACCCACCCACCTACCTACCCACCTACCCACCTACCTACCTACCTTACCTTACCTTACCTTGCCTTGCCTTGCCTTGCCTTGGCCTTTGCCTTTGCCTTTGCCTTTGCCTTTGCCTTTGCCTTTGCCTTTGCCTTTGCCTTTGCCTTTGCCTTGGCCTTGGCCTTGGCCTTGGCCTTTGCCTTTGCCTTTGCCTTTGCCTTTGCCTTTGCCTTTGCCTTTGCCTTTGCCTTTGCCTTTGCCTTTGCCTTTGCCTTTGCCTTTGCCTTTCCCTTTGCCTTTGCCTTTGCCTTT